CACCACGCAATGTGTAGATGAGAGCACAGCCGCCACTTTTCTGAAAAACCCTCCCCACCAGAAGCCACTATTCCTGGTGTAGGTGTAGGGTTGGGAAATAGCAGCTCTGCAGGGAATTGCCCAGAAGACTCAAGGCAAGAAAGATGGGAAGAGTGGGGAGTGTGGGGTGCAGCAGATGCAAAGAGCCTGATCTTCACCTTTCCCCAACAGGGCAAGTTGCCCCATGGTGTTGCCCACATTATCTAGGGCTGCCATACATCCGGACCTTCTCAGACATAGCCGGAAGGCAACAGTCGGAAACAGTGGAAATTGCAGAACCTTTTTGGTTGTTTTGAGCTCAACAACTTTGCCAAAAAAACCTTCAACAGTGTTGTGTCTGGATTTTCACTTTTTGAAATATGGCAACCCTGTGAGAGAGTCCATCTCTCCTCTTCTTGCTAGGGAGGGGCGCGTGGCTTATGTGACCCCCATACGGGGAAGGAATGGAATTTGCATCCAATTTGTGGCACAAGAGGAGGCAACTGGAAAGGTCCTCCTCGCTGTGCAACAGCCCCAATCCTGACTGGACTTTCCAAGTTGCTATTTAAAAACACAGGCATTACTGCATTTCACATATTGTTTATTAATCCCAAAGTGAAATTTATTTTAAATCACCAGACATCTTCTTTTTAAACTTTGTTCTAGTCAGGGCTTTTTTTCAGCCAGAACTTTCCGGAACTGAGTTCTGGTACCTCTCAGGTGGGTGCCATTGCCGTTATAAGACAACAAGGGAGGCCTTCAGGGTGAGTTACAGCACCCCTTTTTCTAGAAAAATAGCCCCTGGCTCTGGTGACCCTTTAATAATTTCTTTTTCAAGCAAGAGCTACAAACTATTCAACTCTGAAATCAATGCTGTTTCCAAGTTTTTCCACTTGTGTGTAGAAACTAAAAAGATAACCCTGGTCCTCAGAAACTAAACTCCAGCTGAATTCAGTCTTCCAAGTTCCCTTTGTTCATCCTCCAGGCTTGCTTATTGTTCTCCCCACGCCCCGCCCCCCAAAAAAAGATTACTACATGACTGTTGTGACCCGTGTAACTTAACTGATCCTGTCCCTTGTCTTA